GCTCATAATGAATGGAAGGAAGGAAGGAAGGAAGGAAGGAACTGAAATTGGACTGTTTTACGCTTTAAAAGCCTGAATCTTCACCAGATAGATGCTGAATAACCACTGCCACTTCTGTTCTCACGAGACTCTCATCTTTTAACATCTATACAACAGGCTGCTACCAAGCAGTCTTCTCTGGGCACCTACATCTATTTCCAGTCGATTTCCAGTTGAGATGGTGGGGGGTGAGGGAAGGGGGGAGAATGTCATTTCTGTTCCTTTCCAATAAGAATCAGTTCTGACTTCTGGTGACCCTTCGTCAAGGTTTCCCAGGTACAGAGTCCTCGCAAGTGATTTCCCTTTCCCCTTCTTCTGGGGGGGGGAGGGCTGTGCTGGGACTGTGCAGCTGGACCGAGGCCACAGAGCCTAGGATGGATCAAATCCCGACGATCTTACATTTGAAGCAGAAAGGACCTGGACTCTGAAAAATGGGAACACGGGCGGGAAGGGAAATTGACTCATTTCCCCGAGCCGGCCCTTTGGGTCCCTCTCGCAGGCTGCTTTTTGCTCTGAGATGCTGCAGCTTTCTCAGTTCCTGGTGATGGAAGATCTCACGTTTGAGATCTCACCAGCAACCTTGCACTGCAAAGCTATGCCACCATGCTAGGTCCTCTCCAAGCAGTTGTTGTTGCCCGACAAATTACGGGGGGGAGTGGGGAGGGTGACACAACGACGACACTGGATTTGCATGAGGGGTGCACATTTATCTTGCAGGAGCATTTAAGTGAGAGCAGCTTCTTTGCAAATGTCACCCTTCTGTTCACCTCCCACAAAGGCTGGTGAGCGCTCCAACGCTGGAAGCATTCAAAATAAACGTGGATGGATCATCCCCTGGCAGATCTGCTTTGACTTGGATTCCTGCCTTGAGCAGGGGTGGTGGTGGACCGGATGGCCTTAGAGGCCTCCCTTCCGACTTCACTTTTCTATGATTCCTATGATTCTGAGGTCTCCGTGCCTTTACTCCAATCATCCACACACCTCTACCCCTTCCGGAAGCAGCAGGAGGGCACCCCAGAGTTCTCACCTCTGAGAACTGCACAGCTCCACAGAAATCAGTGGGAGGTGGTAACAACCCATCTGCTGTGTGTCCAGAGTTATTTATTGTATTGTCTGCAGAGAGATTATATACCAGGGAACGATCCAGCAAAGAAGTAATTCTGGATATTTGCAGAGAGTAAGCCATGCCAGGCACTAGAGCGGTGGCTTCCAACCTTGGGTGACTCAGAGGTTCTTGGACTACAGTTCCCAGAAGCCTTCACCACCAGCTGTGCCAGGGTGTTCTTGGACTGCTCTAGAGGACAAACACAGCTACGAAAATGATATTTATGTAGTGCTTTATTCTGTTTACTGTGTTGTGCACAGCAGTGGTCCCCAAACTTGGGCCTCCAGATGTTCTTGGACTACAACTCCCAAAAGCCTTCGCTCCCCCCTCTGCTGGCCAGGATTTCTGGGAGTTGAAGTCCAAGAACATCTGGAGGCCCAAGGTTGGGGACACTGGTGAACAGCATAACCACCTGCCCCCCCCCACTTGTTGCTAGAAGCAGATCAGTTGATTGTTGGGAGCTGGCTGGCCTAACATCTCCCTTCATGAAGCTGCCTGGGAGTTAAGATCATCGGGAGAGACTTTCTCTTGGTCCCATCATCCTCACAGGTGCATTTGAAGGGGACACAGGAGAGGGTCTTCTCCATGGCTGCTCCCAGAGACTCTGGAACTCCCTCCTACTGGAGGCCCACCGGGCCCCCTCTTTGCTCTCCTTCCACAAACAGTCCAAGACCTTGCCCTTCAGGCAGGCTTTCCCTGAGTGGCTGCCTGAGTGGGTTTTTTAAATGGGAGCCATATACAGTATAATATGTTGAACGGGAGGTTGTACCTTACTGCTTTGAATGTGTTTTGGTGTTGCTTATGTTCACTGTTTTTAATGTTTGATCTTTTTAAAATATTTGTCTATCTACGGTTTTAGCTTTTAAATGTTGCCTTTTTAACCATGTAAGCCGCCTTGGATCCATTTGAAGAAAGACAGGACAAAACTATTTAAAATAAATCCATACCTCCTAAGGCTCCCTTCCCGACAAAAGGTCAGCTGAGCGGAGGCCACAAGGCGGCAGAGGGTGAGAGCGGAGAGCCTTTGAGGTTCCTCCCGACTCTACTAATCTGAGATTTCTGCTCACGGTCGCCAGACAAAACAGCCTTCCTTAGAAACAGCTGTGGATTTCATTTGAATAAAAAGGCGTTCCAAATGTATAGATAGGTGTTTCTTCATATATGGGTAAAGGAGGGAAATGAGATTTAAAAAGCAAACCAACGCACAACCACATTTAATAGGAAGCAAAAGTGAAAAATGTACCTAGCCAGGCCCTTCAAAGTCCCTAAAAGCTTGGCTTTCACATATGGTGCCTTCCTGGGGGGGTGTGTGTGTGTGTTTGTGGTGTTGTGCCTGCTTTTCTTTAGAGGGCACTCACACACCCTTTGAGCCATGCTACAGCTTGCAGGCGCAACCCTTTCCACGCTGAATCCGGCCGGTGAAGGATTTCAATTTTTGTGCGTTTTGAGACATTTGATCCAAATTTATCCCGATTTCCTCATGAACAGGTCTGAAAGTGCATGGAAGGCTTAAAGTTGGGGAATGGCAGAAGACCCCCGTGACAAAGAGTTTTCAACATCCGTTTCATTTTCACTCTCAGTGTTACAAACGAGGGGTGATGGCAGAACCCAGAAAAGTTTCTTGTGTTTTTGTTTTGTTTTGTTTTTGTTTGTTTGGCGTTACAAACGAGGGGTGACGGCAGAACCCAGAAAAGTTTCCTGGTCTGTTTGTTTGTTTGTGGGCAACCCCTCCGAGAAGTCCTGCCTGCCAACCTGGCCACCTTTCCAAGCGCTGGGTGGAGGGTGCTTTCAAGCTGAATGCAAACCGTCCCAACCCTTGGCCCGGCACAGAGGTGTCTGGAGGAGCGGGCAGCCAAAAAGGCAGAGCCTTGCGTGCTCACGAGGGCAAGACGGATGCAACCTTCCGCTTTTCATGTGGGGAAGGTAAATAAATCATAAAGAGGAGACCGAGAGAGACAGAGACAGGCAGGAGAAGAAGGGAAGCCACTCCAGGTGAACCCAGGCTGCAAAAGTTTATTGAAGATCAGCACCACACATTCAGAGAGGAAGACCCACAGAAAAGGAAAGACGGAATCATTCTCAGGATGACATGGGATCTGACGGTATAGCCACGGCTTCCCGGAAAGGAAAAAAAAATTAATCTCAATTCTTCCCAGAGTCCTCTTGCCAAGACAACGCTGCAAAGAAATGTCCCAGATAATTTACTGAATTCAAGAAAATTAAGCCACGGACTCGTTTCGAAACCCGGGACCCTTCCGCGGCAATTTCCCTTCCTAAGTATCTCACAAGGTTGAGTTAGCAGCACCATCAGCGTATCTACTGCGCTTTGGAACTCTACCCACCACAGGCTAGACTAGAGGAAGGCCACAATGGTAAGTGTTTTGCAGGGACTGCTCCTTTGAGCGGTGGGTGGGGGGGTGCCCGGGGGGGTGCCCTCCACCCCAGCACGCCTGTCTAATGATTGTAAAAAGGTCGTAAGGGAAAGCAGCAAAAGCACTCCCCCCCTTGCCCGGCCTACCCACTACCGAATATTGGCTGCAGGACAAGAAAGGTGGCAAAACGCAAAGCCGGTTCGGTGCAAGAGAGAAGTCGCTTCTATAAAAAGATACGGGAAAAGGGGCCGACTCCAACTTCCTATACCGTCCTAGGGGTTGCATCTAGGTATCGGTCTAAAACTGAAATTGTTGGAATGCCCAGGTTGATCCTGGCTTAGGGTGAACCTTTCCTAACATGATCT